AGCCCCGGCTAAACATCAGCCCTTTAGGGCCCCGACTGTGGTAGTCTATTGGCTCTTTGAGGCGCGCGCGGAACGCTACGCGCCGTACGCTCGGGTCCGGTTCTGGTCGGGCGGCGAGCTACCCTTACTCGCCGTCCGCAGACCCGCGCTTACGGTGGCCGGAGATCATCTCTCGATCCCCGACGTCCGGAATGTCGCCTTCTGCGGCGGCTGGGGCGCGAGGAGGATAGTTCCCTCACGCGCTTCGCCTCCTCCTTTGCGAGCATAACTGCTTCGCAGAAGGAGGAGATAGCTTCCCAGTTCCTCTCACGCTGCACCATGGCCTCGATTAAGGCCGGGCGCGAGAGGTCGCCGCCGCCGATCACTTCCCTGAGAACACGGCGGTGCTCAGCCCAAGCAGGGCACTCCGCTACCGTATGCTCCACCGTGTCCTCCAGGTGATCCGCACAATGACGACACTCGGGCGTTTCCTCCCGCTGGATCCGAAACAGGAACTAGCTACGCTAGAAAAGATCTAACAAAAAATCCTTTTTTCTGTAATAACTATCTAGAATCAAATTTCTATCATGATAGGTAAACATAATTTTAATTCGATTGGTTTCGTCATTGACAGTGACCTTTTCGAGAAAAGCTTTACTAGTTTCGATTTACAACGGGACCCTTTTTCGACGGTAGACCTCGCCAAGCACGGTACTTATGAGTATGTGATATGAATCACCTCGTGTTTTAATTGTTGGAGAGCCAAGCTTCGGTACGAATGGGTCGGTTCGACCGGAATGATACCACGGCCCCACAGAAAACCGACATGAAACAACCACAGCGTTGTGCTTCACCGTACGAGTGAGGTTACCGGAGGCCCAATCCTTCCCCTACCGGCAACGCACGTAATGTCTGCTCATTAGCTGATCTATCATATAAAAAATATTTAAAACTAATATAGCAATTCTACATGTGCTCGTTCCTATTTCAAATATTTGAAAATCCAATCCCTAAGTCAAAATACAATTCGATTACACAGATATCAAAGTTCATTGTACGCATAAATCAACAGAATGATTTTGTCAGTCATTGGATGGTCGTTCAGTGTCGTTTATTATCGCCCCAAACGATTTGCAAATTAGTTCACGGCCAGAAATCATGATTGTTGAATTGTACTGAATAAACTGCGACGCTGATTCAAGGGAACTAGTTGTACGTGATCTGTGTCTCGTCTTTTGCAATTGAGGGGGTCAAATGGATTACAGGAGGAAATCTATCTTTTTTTTCGCAAAGGATATTGGGAGGTTATTTTTAGAGACATGACACTTGGAATACGCGCGGGTTTGAACTCTAGCTAGCAATGTGTCTGTTCCTTGTTATATAAGGCATCTATTTTTTAGATCATTTAGACACGACTAATAAACGGTGAAGGAAAACATAGGAAGGAAATCTGAACTTGCTCAAATCTTCTCCATGTGAGAAGAGTCGTTTGCTCGTATTGAAAACTAGGTTAATAATGACCATGACACAGTATAAATATCATACAGTATTGTAACTCGGCCGCTTGAAAGAAATAAATACCTACAGCCGCGCGGTACGTAAACATGCGTTAGGGCTGCTCGTCTCCAGTATTTTAATTACCTTTGTCTACTTTCTGTTTCCATTTAGTTTTGTGATTGTAAATATCCTTTTTTTTATATAAACAAATAAAGTGCTTTAAAAATAAACAAACAAAATTTCTTTGGCCACTAATGCCGAACTGAACAGCTGACTACGAATGTTCTAAAATCACAACCCTCAAACATCAAAATATTACATGAGTCTAGCTGTTTTATTGTTGTTATTAAATATTTTCTAGTATTATTCATAAACGCAGATAATAAACAAATATTATTAATAATAAAATACCACACTCTCTACTTTGAATTATACAAACTAACAAAACATACATGAACCGTTTTAACACAAGCGTAAGTAGGTAGGTACCTAACGTATCATGATTCATTCAGAACCAGAACCGCCTATAACTACCTATTTCACTCGTCTCAATAACTTTATTCATATTATTTATAAATTCAAACATCTGTTTTCGTGAGATAACTGGAAATAATGACCCATAAAGACACACATTATGTACCTACCTAAGCTACTAGTAAGTAAAATTATTTTATAGTCTTACCTTTCAGAGTTTCCAGGTAATTTAAAAAAAACTTATGTCTGGATGCGTTATTGACGAATTCATGCAACCAAACATAATAACAGCACAATATTTCCTATTCGTCATATTAAATAATGTACTCGAGCTGATTCCTAAATAAAAGACAACACACCGTCCGTTCGTCACTGCGGTACAGCCGCGTCTGTCTGCGTCCCGAGCGCGTCCCGACATCGGGCGCGTAGGTATAGTTCGCGTTTCGGCCGTTTCTATGAAGTTGAAATACTTGTAGATATTATTACCTTGACCATGATGATGCATGCCAGAAAAATAATTTAGGCACATCCAAGATTTAGTTACTTCCTAGCTAGGTAATGACATTCATAAGTGGGATTAGCCATAATTTGTGAAGTTGCGAGGTCGCAGGTTAAGAGCTGAACTGCTTGGGACACTCTTATGAGTGTCTATGCCAGTGAAGTTTCTACAAATGCGTTGGGGAAAGATTGGTCCTCAGGTAATCTCAGTCACACGGCGGAACACAATTTAATTGTTGCTTCACGCGGTTTTCTGTGAAGCCGTGACGGTGGTATCACTCAGGTCGAGCCGGCCCATTCGTGCCGAAGCATAGCTCTACCACACTTAATAAGTGGTATCAAATATTTGCTTTCAAAGGGAATAATAGACACTATGTTATTTATATAGATAAGAACTAGACAAATATATAAATTCCTAATCACTTGTTAAACTAAATTATAAATAAAATTTGTTCCAAGCAGACAATGTAAATATCAACAGGAAAACGATATCGTTCCAGTTTTGTTGTTGACATCAATTTATGTAAACAAAAATGTTATTTAACCCTCGATTGCCCACTAGTTGTAACGTGGTTGTAACTACTGTAATTACTTCTTAAACCGGAAATGTGTAAGGAAGTTAATTATTAAAGTGTTAAAAGGGGTAGGTCACAAATAAGTTGTAATATTAACTTTTTATTCCATTCTCACTTATGCTGATTTATTTCGTCGCTGGATGCAATTTCATCATGGCGCTGGGACGCTCCGGTGAGGACGAGGATAGCTCCCACACGCGGTCCGCTTCCTTCTTTGAGAGCATAACTGCTTCACAGAAAGCGGAGACGGCTTCCTAGTTAATCTCACTCCGCACCAATACTAAGGCCGGATGCGAGAGGTACGCCCCGGACCTAACAGTTGCGATGTTTTCATGGTTGTATCTACTGCAAATCCTGACTTAGAGCAGCTTCAGAGGATTTGATAATGAAACAATAACTTTATGTTTGTAAGTAGGCATACATAGTCATAACTAACAACACATAAAAAATGTAGATGAAGCCAGCATATACTATCTAACTATTTTGAGAAGTAACCCGGAAAAATATGTAGGTACTTACTTATGAAAATTGTTGTACCTGCAAAAATTGTGACTCCATCAAGCAGAAAATCTAATTCTTATTATTGGAACATGTCGTTCTCCAGAATTGTCATAAAGACACAGAGTCTGGCGACACAGGATTTAATTACTGGCGAAGAGTGAGGTACATAATAAGTCTGTAGGTTTCCTTTTGCATACCCTTTTGGGGAACAAAGCGCTTACCATAACATCCTAAGTGAAAAACGGTCAGCTTGCATTGTTTATGCACCCCTACCGTGTTAAGTGCAAGTTGCAGTGGCCTTGTGTGTATTTATAGACGGGCTGCGCAAACGCAATTGCTGTGTACAGAGTTCCCGTCGCGAATAAGTTTTGTTTTGTTTGTTTCTTGAGTGAGTTTTTACTTTAATGCTATTCAATTTAGTGTCTAGTTTTCTATGTGAAAATAAATTACTGTATCAATACAATACAGTATTCAAAAGTCATACTTTCATTTATTAGTTTGATGATATCATTTTGCTTTTAGCGATAAATACTTTTCTAAAATTTTCTTCCATGACAACTTTCTCCACACGTTACCACAATAAACATAACAAAAAAGGAGTCCAGCCTTTGTTGAGTTAAGCGCTGACTAACTCATTTTACGATTATTTTTACAGATAAATGTAGTTAGATACTAATAGGACCTTTGGTGGACATAAAACAATCTATCATTATTTTTCATTATGTAGAAATGCATTGATCGTTATTGGCAAATGTCACAAAGCGCTGTAAGTTGCGCACGCGCGGCTGCCGTGCATAATGCGGTCAACGATCTCGATTTATCGGTTTCCAATGTATGTCTGTCTGTGTGAATGTGAGCTAAGTTGAACTTATATAAAGTGGGGTGTGTCAAGTAATATAATATTGCTCGATCAATTGAAGAGATCACGCGGGATCGCCATGTATTAACAATAACGAATGGGCTGGCCCGATCGGAGTGATACTGACACCACGGCCTCACAGAAAACCGAGGTTAGGAGTTGGGAGAGGGGAAGGATTGGGCCTCCGCTTACCTCCCTCACACGGTAAGACACAACGCTGTGGTTGTTACACGTCGGTATTCTGTGAGGCCGTGGTATCACTCCGGTCGACCCGACCCATTCGTGCCAAAGCTTGGCTCTCCCACACTTATTACAGCTAACATTAATTTAGTTACAACCTACCTAATGTTAAACATTTTTATATTCAACTCTTAGATAAATATAAAGAAATTGTGTTTGGGCGTTGTGTTTCGACCTGTATGTGAGGTTATTGTAATTTCAACCCTCCCTGTATCGTTAATCCCCAAAGCACCGTTTGCTTATTGGCAGGTTATACATCTGCTCGATTGCCCGATCCTATTCAAGGTCAATTCCAAAAAAAATCTTTTGTTTCTTCAATTCTGTTTAACTAATAAAATCCAGGCAACAGATTTTATCACAGACCTCTCTCTTTCCAGTTACTCCACACGAAGCCAGCGTGTAACGGCAGCGTATGCTACTTAGGGGATCTCCCCCGCGATAGGGAACTTCGATCAGACAGAGGATCCGCACTCCGGAGGTACAGCAAGCACCACGGACGTCCCGAAGAGGACCGGCGGAAACAGTCTGATAGCGACTCCGATTCCGATTCTGATACAGAGTGCAAGGGGTATGATCGAGTAAGTATAATTATGTAGATATTTATAACTAGCTATTCTCGCGCGGTTTTACCCGCTGCTGAGCTCCATTCATCGTAGCGTGATGTATTATAGCACCCAGGAACATTGTAGCTATCTATCTACCAGTGAAAGAATTTTGGCAATCCGACCAGCGGTTCTAAAGATTACGCCCTACATACAAACTTACAATTTTTACCTTTTTATAATATTAGTATAGACAAGTAGGTATATTTATAAAAGTCATTTCTACTAATGTTAATAACAGCCATTTGGTTATTAAGCTAGCTACCCGTCATGTTCTCCGGGGCATTAAAATGGCTCCTTTTACCTAATTTCTCGATTATGATAAAGAATAATAGAATATTTTCTTTCACAACCTCTTTCTGATGATAAGGACCAAAAAAGTAAGAAAATAATTGGCGAAATTGGTCTACCCGTTCACGTGTTATGCTGTAAAACATGGAATACATATTATGTATAAAAATTAAGATAGATAAAACAAGCGCTCCTTCTCCATACGATTAGAGAGAGAGAAAATGGAAAGGAATGCTTTCTTCTATAGTATCTGTTTGTGACACAATACTCTCTGGAAGGGGAGGGGAGAGTGAGATAGAAAAGTGTTTTCTACTTCAAAAAAGTCCTTAAACAATAATAAGCTATTTTTTTCCACTTCAGTCGGAGTTCTGGCGTCGCAAGATGCGCACTGTCCACAACATTCTTGACGTGGACAAGGATGGTCTGATCTCATTTAACGACTTCATACTCTTCGCTGAGCGGTTCAAGTCTTTGGGGCACTTGACTGACCAACAGGCGGAGGAGTTTACCAGTATTATAAAGGTAAATAGAAAATGTTTTGGATGCAATTTTTAATCTGTATTTTTGGTATAGATACTTTTATTTTATGACTGCACCACACTTGTTTTTTTCTGTGTCGAGTCGGGTTACATACATACAAATTCACAACTACTCAGACCCACTCATAGTGTTGTTCCATGCCGGAATCGAACACGCCACAAGTTGTTCAGCAGTCAGTTACCTAACCATCGCATCAACCGCGTCGTGAATAGTCGAAGTGACATATTTTGGTTCGGAAAAAATGTTGGAATATTGCTTAAATATAGGTCTTATTTATTTGGGGATGAGGTTTTTGACAATATACTGAACATAAAAGAAAATTGCACTGTTCAGTGTCGTTTTGTTTAAATTAGTGTTACACGTTTTACCTTATCTATGTGAATTAAAAGCTGAACTCTGGACTTAAAAACTTTCTGTATTTGCTGTTTCATCTTAAAGTACCAAATCAAACAAAAACTTATATACCTATGTACATTTAAACCAGCAAGAAAAGTATTTGTTCGTGACTTTCTAACTACCGAAGTCCGCTTTATTTTTTTAATCAAGATATGTGACTGGATATTTTTATCAAACAGCTAACATGGGAAGAGCAGTGGGGCGCAATAGACCCGTACAACTTCGTCACCGTGGAACAGTACCTGGAGGACATGCATCATGTGCTGAATGACAAGTCTCTGAAGAAGAAGGCGTACCGGTGGCTGCCATATTTGTTCAAAGTAAGATTTTTATTATCATGTAGATAGGATTATTATAATTATTCTTATTTATTTGTTCTTTCCTTTCACGGGACCACAGGGTCCCGGACCTTTGGAAGGCGTACGAGGAGCCGAAGCCAACTCGCAGAAGCCCGTTGAACAGTTTTAATCTAAATGTGATGGGACATCAGCCGGCAATTATCCCTATATGCACTATATAAGTGCACCCAAGGACAATCCCTGGTTGATGCAGGACTATTGTTTATTATAATTATTATTTCAGTACCAAGTAATATTATAAATCGTAGACTTTACTTCAAACCATTTGGTGAAAATAAACTGCCTCAAAGTTTTTTTTGCGACTTTACCAAAAAAAGTATAATTCTTCTGTTAATGCGCTAGCGACATTGAGGTCAACGTGGAAAATCGAGTATTTTTCGAAGCTCATGTTTTTGTTTCCATGATCAAAGAGATGGTCCCACTTTTGCATATTTTTTACAGGCAAGACTAATCGTTAGAAGTCGACTACGTCATGACTGCTGATCTGCGTCATGATATTTCTATTTGAAACTATCTACTCTTGCGCGGTTTCACCCGCTGCTCGGCTCCTTTTAATCGCAGGGTGATGGTTTATAGCCTATAGCACTCAGGAACATTGTAGCTAACAACACTGTAACATTGTATCAGTGAAAGAATTTTGGAAATCCGACCAGCGCTTCTAAAGATTACCTCCTACATACAAACTTACAAATTTTACCTCTTTATAATATTAGCATAGACTAGCTGACCAAGCAAACTTAGTGCTGCCTAGTAGACAATAAAAAACTATTTTCTCCCTTTTCAAACCTTTCCAGGACTATTACAAATGTATTAAGATCAAATGTATTATCTATGATCAAAATGAACCAAATCGGCCCAGCTATTCTTGAGTTTTAGCGAGACTAACAGTCATTTATTTTTATTTGTAAGAATATTACTTACTTACCGATATTTGTGCTTCTTAACTTCCCAGGCGGTTGATAAGGACAAGTCCGGCTTCATATCAGTCCACGAGTTCAAGTTGTTTTTCAAGTGTTTGGGGCTGGACAATGAGAAGGCAGCCGTCGCCTTCGCAGTCATAGACGTTAATGGGGTAAGCACAATTATAAACTATGGTCTATCAGTTTTGGTGTTAGAGGTAAAACAATCTTGACATGTCTTTATATGTAGGTATCTAAGAGTTGTATGTTTAAAATTAGGTAGGTTATATAACTAAATTAATGTTCGGTCGGTGGTCGGCTCGACCGGAGTGACACCACGGCCTCACAGAATACCGACGTGAAACAACCACAGCGTTGTGTTTCGCCGTGTGAGTGAGGTTACCGGAGGCCCAATCCTTACCCTCCCCCGATCCCTCCCAAAAACCCTAAATCTCCAAAACCCTAATCCCTAAAAGGTCGGCAACGCACTCGTAACTCCTGCATTGCGGGTAATCCGTCTGCTCGTTTGCCGACCTATTACACAAAAAACCTAATAAACTTAATTTCAATATTCTTTCTATGATCTCTTTAATTAAAAAGACCTAGGTACCACGATTGTTTACCTTTAGATTCTACACAATATGTTTGTACGTTAATGGATGTTTAAGAGTTATTTATTTATATATATTTTTCTTAATTCCAGGATGGGAAGCTATCACAAAAAGAATTCGTGAAGTTAGGCAAGGAGTTCTTCTGCACAGAAGACGAGAAGAGGGTGTCCAAAATGTTCTGGGGACCACTAATCAACTAAGTCATAGATATATCAACTTTATAGAGTAGCTACAAGAGTCATTATTGACTGCAGTTAATTTTTTTAGGTACTTTTTATATAATTTTAGAGTGTAGGTATGTGTGTGAGTATGGATTTTTTAAAAACTTTTTTTCAGTTATATCGCCCTTAAGGTAACTTGTAATAATTTTGGATCTGAATACGCCATCAAACCCTTAGAAGTAAAAATTGTTACAAATAAAAAAATGTATAACTTAGAAGGCTTAAATATTATGTAACCAACAATATCATCAATGACAGGGTACGAAAATTACATAAAAAAAACATTTAGTCCTCATTTTTAATTAGATACGTACGCTTAAAAGAAAAGAGGCCTAACTCAAAAAAGTAGGTATTTGAATCGTAAACATTATGATACAATAATAAGGTCCAAATTTGAAATACCATCTTTTATGAGTTAATTCTGTTTTCTATTAAACATGTGGGTAGTTTTTTCTACACCGAATCTATCTGTAAATAGCCGCCTATGTCAGATTTAATGACTGTTTGACTTTGTAAGACTTTGTTTTATTGAAAATATTGTGAATAAGTTGAGAAAAGTTGCGGCTACGTCGCGAAGCCGTTCTTATGAATAAGAGTCCTGTTTTAGAGCTTTTCTCAATTAATTTCCACGAGTAAGGGCTGATTTTTCAATGGTCAGATAAAAGTTATCTGCGGAATAATACCTATAACCTAGTTTCCAACTAGTCAAATTCAATACTTTTATCCAAATGTCAATAACGACAGTTTTCTATGAAATTTAAAAAATATACTTACTGTGTTATGACGTCATAACATTTTTGGGTCAAACAGCTTACATATTTCTTAATAATTAGCTAAAAAAATCTAGAACTTAGTGTATCGATCGATCGATGAATGAAAGTATAGTAAAGTATAGTATAGTTATTTTTTCAATATTTTAATGTATTGAAACGTCGAATTAATTCATTTTTGACCTAGGAAACTACCCAATTATGATGCTGTCGCGTCAGAATGTTTGTATAAGACAGTGACAGCAACAATTTTATTCTTCTAATAACATTTATCTGACTAAATAAATATTGAAAAATCAGCCCCACGTCGTTATTTTCAATAGATATAACTCACTATAGTTACTATAAAAAATTGTTAAGACTTATTGACGTTTTATACCTTAGCTGTTATGCTTACCTAGTTATAGTTACGGTCTTATGACGCTAAATACATATTAATTGTTAATTATAAAGAAATAAAATTATTATTTTGTAAACTCGCAACATTCATTTAGAATGTATAAAAAATCCAACAACAAGATCTGTACTGAAATCTCAATAAATATTTTTAAATTTATTTGTTTTATTTTTATTATGTACTTAGGTACATCATCTTTAGAATTATATACATACCTACCTATATGTCGCCTATTGCCATTTTTGATTAACAGAGAGAGAATGCCAAATGACACGAGTCTATTCTTCTTTCAACATAACTTATTTTTCTTTTTCTTGATACCTACAAAAATTCTTTTCGTGCTTACTTGCCGATTAGGGATGCTTTTTAAATCATATTGGTATGGCTCTTGGTAAAACCAAGATGAAAAAGAACGTATCGGTTATATCTGGATTCTATTTTTATAGATGGTCTGTTCTTTCTGTAAGTTGGAAAATCATGATATGACTTCTCCCGCCCTGGATGTGGAGTGAGGTATTGTCAGATTATAACTTTTAATTAAAAAAAAGGTGTTGAATTTAACAAATTGTACACTTTGATTAGTGTGTTTGAAAATGCAGCCATGATATAGAAGAAATATTTACCTAGTATTGGACAAAATAAACAATAATTTATTTCTTTCATCATTCATTTATTGAGAACAACAAAAATTAAATCCAAGTCCGTTCTAACAATACAAAGACATAACAATATTACAATAAGTTTACGAAGTTTTAACTTCAAACTAAATATAGGGATTAAGTTTAAGTAAACGTACATAATTATAATATGTGTGTGGCTAGCTCCTAAACGCCTGCACCAAAGCGGACAATAAATTTTCATAACAATTATGTCAAGTATCAAAACTGTAGTTGGAATGAACTAATAAGGAAATAGAAGATCAATGGTTTGAAAACTGGTTACAAACATTTTTGAAACTTGTCTACAAAAAATTTAAGACAATTTATCATTGATAAAGAGCAACTAATCTTATCGACCCTTGACTGTACTAGTTGCACTGTAAGGACATTTACTGATCCCCATTAAGGACGTCGTTGTTAAAATAACAAGTCTGGTTTCGCAAACAAAGCATGAATATTCTAGAAACTAAGTAATCTGATTTAGTTATATAAATTGTATGTTATTTTAGGGACTAATAAATGTGACTTCGGAATGAATGCTTGTTTCCAACTGCCACCTATCCTTTTGAATATATTACAGCACAAAACGCGTTTTTTTTATGAAATTTAGACTTCTGTTAGCGGCTTGGTCGCGATACCAGTATAAAAATTAGACCAAGTATTTCCACAGTTTACAAAACACATTTTAGCTATAATTACACATAATTATATGTTTTTTTTAAATTAAGCAACATATTTTGTTACTTGATCGGCTCTGTAGTTAAAAAATTGTTACTGTTTCTGTACTTGAACAATTTTTATTATTGTACCTAGGTATCAATGAACTATGCAGACTCAACGCACATTCTTACAAAATTTTCACATTTATATTATAAGTAGAATACAATAATATTAAAAGTGTCGTTTTCAAAGACTTTTAATGATTACTTTTCTATTACTTAGTAAGGATTTCGTTTTGAAAACAATAGCTAAGGAATGAGTTAAATAACATTAAAATTACTTTAAGAACGACGGTAAAGGTTAACAAAAAATACTGATTGATTTACTGTTTTAACAATATTTGCTCAATAATCGACTATTTTGTCACATTTTAAAATCAAGTTACAAAAATCCTACATTACTTGGGGCTGGAACGCGCTGTCTAAACATAATTATAGTGATCGAAAGAAGACTAGTTTCTGTTATTATCGCTCAATAGATGGCGCTATGACAATGATGGTAATATAACAAGCATTGTTTTTTGATCAATAAATAATTAATCAAACTTTTTAACATAAATTACTAGTCAGCTAGTGTTTTTTTTTTTTTTTTATAAAAACGTTGCCCCACATTAGAATTTTCTCCTGTGTCGTGGGTGCGTTTACAAACATACAATTTCACATACACGTGACACCCAGACCCGGAACAACAATTTGTGGATCCCACAAAGAGTTGTTCCGTGCGGGAATCGAACCCGCGACACGTTGCACGGCAGCCAGTTGCCCAGCCACCGCACCAACCGTGCAGTCGAACAAAAAGACCTAAAGCTACAAAAGCGCCATCTGATGAGAAAAAACAGAAGCCTTTGTGGGATGTCTAAGGTCAATACAATAAAAATTAAGAGAAGAATACCTACTTAATAATTATACTAATACTAAATAATTTAAACAATACTCAGTTGATCCTTCAGTAGTTTCGTCTCCTCCATAAGAGTTTTTATTTGATTGGTCCTGAAATAAAAAATATTATTCTATTAGTTTAAATGTCGCGTTGAATTTTTTTTTATGTTATAAGTCGGCAAACTAGCTGAGGGATTATGATGGTAAGAAATCAGCGCCGCCCATGGACACCTGCAACGGAGGAGTCACGAGTGCGTTGCCGACTTTTTAGGGATTAGGGTTTTGGAGATTAAGGAACTTTTAATAACATTTTTGCTATTAAGACTGGCCATGGGCTTTACCATAAGATTTTGATGTTTCAAAAGTACCCATTAATGGTTTAGTTGGAATAAATGATTTTGACTTTGACTTTGAAGATAATCCATCCCTCCCGTTTGCCGACCTATGATATGAAAAAAAGAAAGCCGTCCAAGATTCACAATTCAAAAAGGCCTCTGTTGTTTTTTCTACGAGTAGTGAAATATGTAAAGCCGGACTGTAAATCTAATTTCAAATTAGTGATGAGTTTAGATTTTAAAGTATCAACAGCATCCATGCTTTGAAAAGAATTGGCCGGCTCTACTGGAGTAATACTACCCCACAGAAAACAAGCGTGAAACAACGCCGTCTTAGTGATTTGTAATGCAAATTTAGTATACTCTAATCTCCAATTTGCAAAAGGAGGCACTTGTAACTCTTTTGGTGTTGTGGCCATATGTTGATGAGTCTAATCGATTACAGGAATATCTCATAAAAATGCTTGAACTATGGCTACACTAAGACAATTCCTATAAAATTTTGCCCACTAGTTTTTACCCATAACGACTGACTTTTCATTAGATAACTTACTGTTGCTGTAGAATAGTGGAGATCGTGTTACTGTGGGATTGGCCGAGAGCTATGTCTTTCTTCTTATACTCCGATTCCCATTTCTCCATCTGAAAATAATAATATTAATTATTTTATCGTTGATTGATTTGTTGAAGGATTTCGATATCTAAGGACTGGAAAGGGATGGATTCCAACTCCTTAGGAGATTGGAATTAGGCTTCCGGTAACCTCATTCACACGGCGAAACACAACGCTGTGGTTGTTTCACGTCGGTTTTCTGTGAGGTCGTGGTATCATTCCGGTCGAGTAGACACATTCGTGTCGAAGTTTAGCTCTCCTATACTAGGATTGGGGAAGAATGATGGGAAGGGATGAAGGGAGGGGTGGGGGGATGGATTATGTTTACTAATTACCTCCTGCGCCCTGTATGCGGCGTGCAGTTTGAGCTGCGCGATGTGTAGCAGCATGTCGTGTCGTCGCGCGGCGTGCTGGCGCAGCTCGGCGAGCACGGCGCGCTCCGCGGGGCACGGGCCCGCCGACACACGACCCGCGCGGATCACGGCAGCGCATCTATAAATAACATTATAAATGCGAAAGTTACGACAAAACACAAAAACGGCTGGACGGATCTGGATGAAATTTGACACAGGCAATACACTCCGCAATAGGACATAGACTTTTTATCAAAATACCACACGGGCGAAGCCGCAGGCGGTAGCTAATTATTTTATATGTTCTCTTTCATTCACGGGACCTAAGTGTCATAAACCTTCGGAAGGCATACGAGGGGCTGGAGCCAACTCGCAGAGACGCTTTGAACAGCTCTAATATTAATAATATATAGAATTTTTGACAAAGTTTACAAAAGGTAGACTTTTTGAATTTGACAAAAATGTCAAGCCTGTTTCTAACAAACGTGCAAAGTGGATGTTAAAAATACAAAGACACTGGATTAACCCGTTGAATGTCGGTTTATAAGACACAATAGAAAATACATTTTGTCTCGCGTGGATCCACGTTTAAAACATACGAAAGGTTAAAAGCAAGCTCGATACACCACGTACCTGTATTTCAGATCATCTTGATGTTTTTCAGCCAACATACATTTCTCTTGGAGAACTGTGGACTGAAGCTTTACTTCATCTATTTCTTTCTGAAATGTTTAAACAAAATTATTATAAAGGACATTTTATTACAATAAATAATCCAAACTAAAATACTAAATTCGAAAGTAACTATGTCTGTTTATCTTTTCTTCACGCTTAAATTACTGAACCGATTTCTGTGAAATTTGGTACAGACATATTTTGGAACTCGAGAATGGCCATAGGATAGTTTTTAAACCAAAAATCTTCAGGAAGTCACTATCGTCGCAGGCAAAACCTAGTAATAATAATAAAATATTTAATCTACACCGATATTTTCCTAGTTTAACCAGAAATTCTTAATAATAGAAAGCACATAATTATAATTTGGAAAAAGTCACATTGGTACTTGCCAAGTTTCGAACCCTCATGTCTGAAAAGCAGGCGTCCCAACTTCCACCTCCTTAGTACTAAAAATATTAAAAAATATTAACCTGTAAGTCGTGCAGCCACTCCTGATGCTGGTCGCTGAGCGAGCGCAACGCTTGCAGCTTCCGAGCGATGGCGTCGCACGCTCTCTGCTGCCGGGAGATGTACTCGCCGCGTAGTTTTAGTGTAGCTTGACTTAAAAACTGAAATTAATAAACAAAAATGTTTTTATGTACGAGGTCGGCAGACGAGCAGACGGATTACCTGATGGTAAGCAATCATGGACACCCGCAACGGCGGAGTTATGTACGAGTGCGTTGCCGACCTTGTGGGGATTAGGAATATGGCAATTTAGGAACTGGGGAGAGATTGGGGAAGGGGAAGGATCGGGCCTCCGGTAACCTCACTCACACGAAACACAACGCTGTGATTGCTTCACGTCGGTTTTCTGTGAGGCCGTGGTATCGCTCCGGTCAAGCCGACCCACATATTTATTAAATCAATAAGAAATCTACCATTTAAACGAATAAAAACAATTGAAGTTAAATAATATTTTGTAACTATTTAGGTATGTGTATTGAAAAGTTGGAATTATGTAGTGTAGTGTATGTGTGAATACCTATAACCTTTGTATGTGTGCGTGTCTATCCATCTATTAAATCATGTATCATTTCATAGGGGATTCAGTAATCAATGTTTACTTGTAAGGAGTTGTGTTTCTCTAAATGCCCAATCTTATATGGCGACCCTGCCATGTACGGCGGTCTGTGGCTCGGGTTAAGGTTATATGTTTCTTTTTCGACTAAAGAAACATCAAAATAAGGCTTAAAACTAACTTATCCCGCCGTCTTGATAAAAAGCGTGATTTTAATTCATTATAATAGTAAGAAACTTACTTCTAAGCACTGTTTGGGACTGGGCTCCTCTTTCTTGTTGATCTGAAGGATGGGCTGAGAGACATCCCTTGTAAGAATCTCTTGTATGATGGACGTGAAAGAAAGTTTCTGTCTCTGAAATTATAACATATAAATATTAGGTAGAATAAAATTTATCTTCGAACGGATTAAAAATATTGCTTGGAGTTTGAGCTGCGATTCATAACGGTAAGATAGCTGTAAAAAATCTTTTTAGCATTCAGTCACAGCCTAAAATTCAATGAAACAAACTGCTCGACTGGTTTCGAGCTAAGGCGAAACCTGTCGAGCATTCGTGTATTTATCTAATTTAAGTATTGTAATCATGATATGATGATCAATTCGTTTCGTTAATCATTCCTAGGTTTCAAAAAAATACTTTACCAACTATTAGGTATACTTGAACTGAATTAGGGAATCATCGAATTACGGTCATATTACAAAACAAGGGCTTTCTTTAGTCTAGGTTTAAAAAATTGGTCCAGTTTTTGTATTTCGAATTGAAGGTAGGAGAGAATAAGGTTAAAAATACAAAACCAAACTCAATGGTTTTGAGACATGATCTTCGGCCACCGTAAGCGCGTGTCTGCGGACGGCGAGTAAGGGTAGCTCGCCGCTCGACCAGAACCAGACCCGAGTGTACAGCGCGTAGCGCTCCGCGAGCGCCTCAAAGAGTCAAGAGCGATATTCAGCCGGGGTTGCAGGTTAAGCGCAATGAGTCACCGCGGCCTCGGCCCAGAGCAGAAGAAGGAACAGGGGTGTTTTTAGTCAATAAGAGTCTACACTCTCTCTCGCCTTACCCTGGGCGGAAGAAGTCATTAGATGTTTTTCCCCTGACAAAAAAAGACTCAAGGGTTTAAACCTGGACTAAAGATAAATCTTGTTTTATAATAAGGGGGTTGTCTATATGTGGTATTTGATCTACATACCTCTTTCAGTATTTTATTGATGTCATCCTGTTCCAAGGTCGGGTTCTTGAGCTGCAACTCTTTGTAGAGCTGTTCTTCAAGATCGAAGGGCTCCAGTGTTCTGTTGGGGAAAATCGATATTAAGATATAGTTGATGCTTTTTATTTAGACAATCAAGTTTAAAATTTTATAAGTAAAACATTTCTATAGACTTATGACTACCCAGGATTGTAGGTTAAGCATTTCCTGCTTCAAACCGGACCGCATTATAATGCGGTCCGGTTTGAAGCAGGAAATGGAACGTATACAGTCAGTGACTTAATATTTTTTTCGTCTTGCATTTTTGAAGAAATTGTGCGGAAGATCTAAGTTCGGCACGAATGGGTTGGTTACACCAGAATAATACCACAGCCTCACAGTAAACTGGCGTGAAACAACCACAGCTTTGTTTTCGCCGTGAGTGTGAGGTTACGAAAGGGCCAATTCTTTCCCTTCCCCAATCTCTTCCCAATCTCTAAGTCCCCTAAACCCTTATTTCCAAAACGTCAGCAATGCCCTTGCTGTAACTCTTTCGTTTGCATTTTGCATGGGAGGCGCTGATTGCTTACCGTCAGGTAAACCGTCAGGCCGTTTGACGTCCTATCACATTTGGATAAAGTTGTAAGTGTAGTTAGTAGAGTAACGTACCTGGGTACTAGAGTAGCAGGCTGTACAAGTACGAGCAGCCTCGGCAGCGGCGGCGCCGAGAGCGCGCGGCCCGCGGGCGGCACGCCGCACTGCAGCACGTGCCGCGCCGCGCTGCCCCGCCCGCACAGCGCGCCCAGCACCGACTCACTCTCCGCTGGACATACAATACACCACTATCTCACACAACTGCAGCACGTGCCGCGCCGCGCTGCCCCGCCCGCACAGCGCGCCCAGCACCGACTCACTCTCCGCTGGACATACAATACACCACTATCTCACACAACTGCAGCACGTGCCGCGCCGCGCTGCCCCGCCCGCACAGCGCGCCCAGCACCGACTCACTCTCCGCTGGACATACAATACACCACTATCTCACACAACTGCAGCACGTGCCGCGCCGCGCTGCCCCGCCCGCACAGCGCGCCCAGCACCGACTCACTCTCCGCTGGACATACAATACACCACTATCTCACACAACTGCAGCACGTGCCGCGCCGCGCTGCCCCGCCCGCACAGCGCGCCCAGCACCGACTCACTCTCCGCTGGACATACAATACACCACTATCTCACACAACTGCAGCACGTGCCGCGCCGCGCTGCCCGCCCGCACAGCGCGCCCAGCACCGACTCACTCTCCGCTGGACATACAATACACCACTATCTCACACAACTGCAGCACGTGCCGCGCCGCGCTGCCCCGCCCGCACAGCGCGCCCAGCACCGACTCACTCTCCGCTGGACATACAATACACCACTATCTCACACAACTGCAGCACGTGCCGCGCCGCGCTGCCCCGCCCGCACAGCGCGCCCAGCACCGACTCACTCTCCGCTGGACATACAATACACCACTATCTCACACAACTGCAGCACGTGCCGCGCCGCGCTGCCCCCGCCCGCACAGCGCGCCCAGCACCGACTCACTCTCCGCTGGACATACAATACACCACTATCTCACACAACTGCAGCACGTGCCGCGCCGCGCTGCCCCGCCCGCACAGCGCGCCCAGCACCGACTCACTCTCCGCTGGACATACAATACACCACTATCTCACACAACTGCAGCACGTGCCGCGCCGCGCTGCCCCGCCCGCACAGCGCGCCCAGCACCGACTCACTCTCCGCTGGACATACAATACACCACTATCTCACACAACTGCAGCACGTGCCGCGCCGCGCTGCCCCGCCCGCACAGCGCGCCCAGCACCGACTCACTCTCCGCTGGACATACAATACACCACTATCTCACACAACTGCAGCACGTTGCCGCGCCGCGCTGCCCCGCCCGCACAGCGCGCCCAGCACCGACTCACTCTCCGCTGGACATACAATACACCACTATCTCACACAACTGCAGCACGTGCCGCGCCGCGCTGCCCCGCCCGCACAGCGCGCCCAGCACCGACTCACTCTCCGCTGGACATACAATACACCACTATCTCACACAACTGCAGCACGTGCCGCGCCGCGCTGCCCCGCCCGCACAGCGCGCCCAGCACCGACTCACTCTCCGCTGGACATACAATACACCACTATCTCACACAACTGCAGCACGTGCCGCGCCGCGCTGCCCCGCCCGCACAGCGCGCCCAGCACCGACTCACTCTCCGCTGGACATACAATACACCACTATCTCACACAACTGCAGCACGTGCCGCGCCGCGCTGCCCCGCCCGCACAGCGCGCCCAGCACCGACTCACTCTCCGCTGGACATACAATACACCACTATCTCACACAACTGCAGCACGTGCCGCGCCGCGCTGCCCCGCCCGCACAGCGCGCCCAGCACCGACTCACTCTCCGCTGGACATACAATACACCACTATCTCACACAACTGCAGCACGTGCCGCGCCGCGCTGCCCCGCCCGCACAGCGCGCCCAGCACCGACTCACTCTCCGCTGGACATACAATACACCACTATCTCACACAACTGCAGCACGTGCCGCGCCGCGCTGCCCCGCCCGCACAGCGCGCCCAGCACCGACTCACTCTCCGCTGGACATACAATACACCACTATCTCACACAACTGCAGCACGTGCCGCGCCGCGCTGCCCCGCCCGCACAGCGCGCCCAGCACCGACTCACTCTCCGCTGGACATACAATACACCACTATCTCACACAACTGCAGCACGTGCCGCGCCGCGCTGCCCCGCCCGCACAGCGCGCCCAGCACCGACTCACTCTCCGCTGGACATACAATACACCACTATCTCACACAACTGCAGCACGTGCCGCGCCGCGCTGCCCCGCCCGCACAGCGCGCCCAGCACCGACTCACTCTCCGCTGGACATACAATACACCACTATCTCACACAACTGCAGCACGTGCCGCGCCGCGCTGCCCCGCCCGCACAGCGCGCCCAGCACCGACTCACTCTCCGCTGGACATACAATACACCACTATCTCACACAACTGCAGCACGTGCCGCGCCGCGCTGCCCCGCCCGCACAGCGCGCCCAGCACCGACTCACTCTCCGCTGGACATACAATACACCACTATCTCACACAACTGCAGCACGTGCCGCGCCGCGCTGCCCCGCCCGCACAGCGCGCCCAGCACCGACTCACTCTCCGCTGGACATACAATACACCACTATCTCACACAACTGCAGCACGTGCCGCGCCGCGCTGCCCCGCCCGCACAGCGCGCCCAGCACCGACTCACTCTCCGCTGGACATACAATACACCACTATCTCACACAACTGCAGCACGTGCCGCGCCGCGCTGCCCCGCCCGCACAGCGCGCCCAGCACCGACTCACTCTCCGCTGGACATACAATACACCACTATCTCACACAACTCTACTGCGAAATCTATCTATATTGTATGATCTCTGTCTCTTCCAAAGTGTAGATTCCTATAGAGAAGAACGAGCAAGAATTTCCATGGTAAATCAGAAGTGGTAGCTGCCATTTATACAGTTTTGTTGGACATTTTATACTTTTTATAATGTAAAATGTCTCTTCTAAGCAATAATAAATAAATAAATAAAAAAATATTTTTTTACAAGAAGCAATATGTCTTCGACAATGACTAACAAACTAAATACTTCTGGAAGTATGTTCAGCCGGTGCGAACAAGGATAGCAAGTGTAAACATGTCTATGGCCCTTGTCCGAATCAGGAGAACATATTCCCTGAATCACCTACCAAGGGTAGTTTTTAGTCAATAAGAGTTGTGGCAGAAAAAGTAATTTAATAATCATCAAAAAAGGTAAATTGATATTCAGCTTGCATGTATTAAAGGATATTAGAAGATGGATGTCTTTTTAATATGCGATCACATCCAAATTGTTAAACTAGCTGCAAATTGGTATCGAAATAGATTATAGTTTGGAATAAATATAGACTACCTCATACATATCGGTTGGTTTGTGCAAGTTTTTTGTAAAGACTTGGTATTCCTCAGTCGAATCTAACAAATAAAAACTTCTTCGTCATTCTATTATTTTTAATGATTTGTCAAATTCAAAGTCCAAGCTAAAATTATTTATTAAAACTGAACCATAAAATTAAATAGGTATTTTTGAAACGACAAAATATAATAGTCATTTAGCCTGTTCGCCAGTGAAGCTAGTTACTCGTTTCGAATTATACATTCAAACTGAGAAGAAAGAAATTGCAATTATTTGATAAAAGCAGTGATCGACATAATTTTAATACAAGAGGCAAAGATAGGCTGGCTGTGCCACGATTCCGTCTGTCCAAAGTACAGAAATCCTTTATGGGGTTCTGTGTAAATTGTTACAATAAAATTCCAAGTACTGTATTGAATCTTAACGAACGAAAATTTAAAACTTCTATTAAACGCGAATTGTGTAGACAGGCATACTACAAACTTTCAGATTATATTGAGGATAAGAATGCCTGGCAGCGTGTTGATTCGGCTCCACTGGACAATACTCAAATATAGTCAGCAGTTAGGTAAAATTCTCAAAAGTAATGCATCCTTAATTTATATATCCAAAAAGTTTATATAGAAGCACTCTTAAAGACTGTGAGTACGCATATGTGAGCGCCATGTTCGAGACGACAAAGGAGTAAAATTTCATGATAGGTTTCATTTGTTCTTTTTTTTTAACAACTTGTCTCTGCATTGTTCTCACATAAGGGTACAATAATGTATACTATAAATGTTATATTATTGAAATTGTAAAACATATATTTTTTTAAAAAAGAGTAACGAATGGAGTTTCTTGCTTGTTCTTCTTTATTCGAATCTACAATTTGGAATGAGCACCTAGCTTCACTGACGAACAGACTGACAGACTACTTCTCTATTTTGACGTTTCAAAAGTACCTATTTATGGTTTAGTTGGAATAAATGATTTTGACTTTGACTTTGAGAACAAGAAATTCTTTCGTTACAATTTTTATCAATTAATATTTGTCTTACAATTACACTGGTACATTAAATAATATACATTATTATACCCATTATGTGATTCTACGAATTCTACATTAATTACTTACCTTCATCAGCCAGCGCATAGTCGACGAGATGTCCCAGTATCGGCAGTGTGATAGCATGAACGCCTCCAGCGTGTACACATGCGTACGTGTTGTTTGTGCACTGAAAAATATCATCATCATAATATATAACTATAGGCACTTTTGAATGTCAAACATAATCAAAACAACTAAATAATGTACCAAAGAATATGTATGTGAAACTGATTTAAAAAGAGTAACCATGGAGTTTCTTGCTCGTTCTCCTCCATCGGAATCTACACTTTGGAACGAGCAAATAGCTTCACTAAGAAGACTGACCGACAGACTGATACTTATATCTTTAAAATTTTGCTTGAGGTTCAAAAGTGCCTGAATGGGTCTAATTGAAATAAATGATTTTGACTTTGACTGTGAATAAATAACAATATCAAAATTTGTGTCTGTCTGTCAGTCTGTCGGTCTGTCCTCTAATGAAGCTTTTTGTTCGTTCCAAATAGTACATTCCTATGGAGAAGACCGAGCAAGAAATTCAATGGTTACTCTTATTCAATCAGTTTCACATAAAGATTCTGTGGCTGTTTCACGTCTGTGTTCTGAAGTAAAGCCGTGGCATCACTCCAGGTTAGCCAACCCATTCGGGCCGAAGCATGGCTCTTCCACACTTAGTCAGTAAACAACAATTTGATACTTGGTTAAAATAACGATATACATAAAATTATTAGGATAAAGGCTGATTTTTTAATGGTAAGATAAAAATTACCTGGCAATTACTTATGATGCTGTCGCGTTAAAATGTTTGTGTAAGACAGTGACAGCAACAATTTTATTTCTTAGATAACATTAAACTGACTATTGAAAAATCAACCCTAAATATCCAATCCCTCCTAAATCCCTAAATCTCCAAATCCCTAATCCCTAAAAGGTCGGCAACGCACTCGTAACTCCTCCGTTGCGAGTGTCCATGGGCGGCGCTGATTGCTTACCATCAGGTTATCCGTCTGCTCGTTTGCCGACCTATTAAATAAAAAACTTACAGGATATAAGTCGACGGGATACGAGTATGATTGCTCATCATCGGGACTCAAGTTGACGTTAAGTTCCACTGCTTCTACCACATAGAGAGCGTGAGTGTCGCCATCTTCTTTCTCCGAAGGCTGTAATGTGACAAGATTTTTTGGTTAATAAAGATAATATGACCTTTTTATGCGGATATCGACAGGGACCACTGTGTGCTAAATGCTAATCTGTTGGTCTTTATCAGCAGCTTTCATTAGTTTGTGGATCTATTTATTGTCTATGGATGAATTCAAATTCTCAGTTTTGGGATTATGTACGTATTTGTGTTTGAGCCTAAACTATGTGTTGTTATAATGGGACATGTTGCAGTGGATTACTGGATGCAATTTCAATATAAACAGCCGCAAGTCGTGAATAATGCAAGTCCGCTTACTTGGAATTGCGTAGAGTAGTTTCCAACTAAGAAAAACTATATTTTTCCCAAGAATTTTGTATGAAATGGCACGTTATGACGTCATTCCGCTGATGTGATTTAAAAGCTAACTTCTATCACCAGCCTAAAAGTGCCAATTACTTAGCAAAGGTCTTTTCTCACACATAGAAGGTTTGAGCATGAATTATCATCACGCTTGCTCAAGGGGATATGGTAGTACATATAACTTGGAATAAATTGTTATTTTCCTGGTGCCTTAAAGTGCAGGCCACTAAGACCTTAAATGTAAAATTGTATTCGATTGTGATAAATTTTGAAATCTCATTTAACGTGGATACATTAGTTAATATAAAGAGACGGTCCTCTGAGTTTGTGTCGGCATTTCTTCTCAGAGTAGTTAGATAGGAAATGCCGACTTCGTCTAGTTTTTTATATATAATTTTGATGTGTAAAATTGCTGTTTTATGGCCTATTAGGCGTGAATGAGTAACAAACATCCAAACATCGTAACTTTCGCATTTATAATGATAGTAAGATTTGCCAAAATTAATTCATTATTTTATTGCTTTAAATGTTCCAAACTATATTCTACTTACATTAGGTAACAGAAGGCAATGGTACAAGGCTGCTGAGCAAGTAGCGACCACCACAAGAGGGGGAGTGTCCGCCCCTCCTAGTGCGGTGATGCAACATGACTCCGAACCATAGTTGTCGTCCGCCGGCGGGTACATCGCGAGAGGGCCCGACAATTTCGGTTGTAGTGGACTGAAAAGATTAAGGAAAAGGTTAATATTAACACCAAAGCATCTCCAAATCCCACAGAAAACCGGCGTAAAACAATCATCGCATCGTGTTTCGCCATACGAGTCAAGATACCGGAGGTCCCGGCGTTCCCCTACCTCAATACCTCCCCAATGCTTAAATATCCAAAACCCTAATCCCCAAAAGCAGGCTTCGTAACTCTTCTGGTGTAGCGGCTGTTCATAATAAGCGCCAATTGCTTACCATCAGGTCACCAATCACCTTGCTCGTTTGCCGTCCTACAACATAAAAAACCCCTTACTCCTAAAAGGTCGGCAAAGCATTTACAATACTTCTGGTATTGCGGGTGTTCATAATCAAAGTAGCAACCAATTGCTTACCATCAGGACATTCGTGTCATCCAATTGCTGACCTCATCATCAACCTATGCCCACTGCTGAGCAAAGGCCTCTTCTCATACGGGGAAGGTTGGAGCATTAATCACCACGTTTGCTCACTGCGGGTTGGCGATTTCAAACTTATAATTAGAAATGATAAGTCCAGATTACCTCACGATGTACCTTCACCGTATTTCAGTGGTGTCTAAATAGTCATAGAAAGAGAAGCGGGCGCCTTAACCTCCGGGTCACCACGACATTACTATGGTTACAACGAGTTCAGCTCAACGTAATATTAGTTCTGCTAATCCAACGGTTACTGCGTTATATGTTTAGGGTTTGAGTTTCCCAGCACGGAACAACTCTTTGTATGAACCACAATGTTTGTTCAGGTTACGGGTGAGACATACAAGATACAATCTTTATAAAGTATACGAATATTATAAAGAGGTAAAACTTGTAAGTTTATATGTAGGGGGTAATCTTTGGAACCGCTGGTCGGATTGCCAAAATTCTTTCACTGATAGATAGCTACAATGTTCCTGAGTGCTATGGGCTATAACACATCTAGCTACGACCAAATGGAGCCGAGCAGTGGGTGAAACCGCGCGAGAGTAGATAGTATCTTTATAAATGTATCTACAACATCGGAGAAAGCCAAAGAAAAGCAACATACGAAATTCTCCTTACAAAATGAGTGCAAAGAACTTGCAATAGACTAATCAATTTTAATCACTATATCTTACCTTTTACGCTCCAATTCGCATTGCATCATATAGACGTCTCCATTCCCCCTCAGTATCAACAATGTTTCCGTATCAGGTATAGGAGTGAAGTCCACTGCAGTGTCTCCAAGACTGTCCAGTATATTCTTACCCGCTAACTGGCTTGACGGTTTGATGCCGATTGTGAAGGTCTGGACTGGTTTCGGACCTTTTTTCAGGGCTATGTTGTAGAGTCTGTAATAGTATAGGTATTTTTTTAATAAATTAAATAATTTATTGTTTTACTCTTGTTGTTAACTGCCAGACAAACAGAAGACAAAATGTTTGAACCTATAAGGATTAGAATTTAAGTTCTTCAGGACTTATAAGGGATTACTAAGAGTACATTCACACGGAGAAGGTTTGAGCATTAATCACTACGCTTGCTCAAGGCGGATTGGCGATTTCAAACTTATAATTAGGAATTATAAGTCCAGGTTTCTTTCAACATATGGCAGTTGTGTCTAAATAATCATAGAAAGTACATATAACTCTACAGTGAAAAATTCACAATGACATGTGCCTGGTTTTTAACCCGCACCTTCATACATAAGAAGCGGGAGTTACTAAGAGTGAATTTTCTAAATTCCTATTTTTGAAGTCTTACACCCGGTTCCCGAAAGGCCGATCAATGTTAAAATCAATTTAATGTCTTGTCAAGTCACCTGATTGGTTGACTGAATTATCAACAACCAATCAGATAACTTGACAAGAGCTTTAACAGGAGATTAGTTAATTTTAGCGTTGACAAGCCTTTCAGAAACCGGGTGTAAATGTTACAAACCTTAAAACCTTTATAAACGGAGCGAACTCCTTCTTAAAAGACGGCACTGACCACAACTGACAATCAGGTGATTTGTCTGCATGTCCTCAAATTTCATCAAAAAACAAGTCCATATTATAAGCCCACCTGATCGTGTTATCCGATCCCAATACGAACACGTGTGATAATGACGCGGGGTGCCAATGGACACGACGTACTTCACCCTGGCAGTACAGGAACCTTTCGTCCAAAGAATAACTCCTGAAAAAAGAAAAATAATAAGACATTAGTTTTTAGGCTTCGCAAGGGTGCAATACTGATAATAATTGATGGATGTTATCTTCTTATATATAAAAATGGATCTCAAAATGCTTTGTAAGCGCATAACTCAACAAGGCCTGGACCAATCTTGCTAATTCTTTTTTTATTGTGTTTGTAATTGTCAGGAGAAGGTTCTTATCAAAGAAAATATTAGAAAAGTAGAAGGGAAGATTATGAAAAAGTGACCCTTTGATAGCGAGATAGTAGGACCCGTGCGAAGCGGGGGCGGGCCGCTAGTTATACATATAAACCTCCCTCTTCAATCACTTCATCTATTAAAAAAACCGCATCAAAATCCGATGCGTAGTTTTAAAGATTTATGCATTCATAGGGACATATGGACAGAAAAAACGACTTTGTTTTATACTATGTAGTGATTAGTGGTACAGAATTTTAAATCTTGAGAATGTACTACGGTTTTGGTACGGTGTTGAAGCCATGATAATATGAAATCAATTATTTTGAAGTTCCAATAAATAGACATAATACAGAGCTTAAGTTTTGAACTTGCTCGTACATGATATGAAAATATTTGTCCAACTGCGCCACGCATAGTTGGGTCATTTGTGGTCAAAAAACTTACTACTGTAACAGTATATCGAAGCTCTTAATAGAGTACAATTTTAACCCCCTATGACAAAAATACAGTAGCTAATATAAAGATCAAATCGCATTAATATACACACTCAAAACCAAGCCAATAACATCGTGTGAAAAAATGGTAACATCCATTACATCTATGATAAATAAGCGGTAAGACCTCGTGCCCTCACGTGGGCCTTCTAATAATTTGATTATTCGCCGGCCATTTTGTTTTTTCCTCTTTTTTGGCGGGAACGCGGTCTGGATTAATCGTGCGTTTAGAACTCGCCTTCTTGTTGGATTTACTTGTTTAATATTAAAATGGGGTCTGTGATTTCGAACTGAAGCCAAGGTGAAATATAAGGCAGAATGGACTACATTTTGCGGGCATATTTATGAAGCACATTTTTGTGGTTATTTAGGACATATTGAACGTTTTGTTGGACGGTTTTTGTTTAGAGAAAGTAATTGGATTTTGTGATTACGTAGCTGCGTATAATGTAGAGAAAATTTGAAGGCTTTATTACTCTAGTTGATTGTATAGTGCAGACTCAATGAGGTCTATTCGAGGTCATTTTTTGAGGATGCAAATTGCTAGGGTACTCAGAGCATTAAGTTTCTTGATAGAGCATATGGTAATAAAACGTGCATTTTGCACAAATAACAAATGTGAGTGAGCATTGTTTCAAAATGCATTTACTTCAGAATTACAATGTCTATCAATAGATCCCGCAGCACTGGGGCACAGCGCATGCTACATGTCCAATTTGAGGCTAATCCCATTGTCCGGCACGTTCGGGATTCCGTTACATCAGCCTGTTCATTGTGCAACTTTGTATTCATTGTCAGTTGCTTTGAATTTTATGACTGCTTTTGATGTATGTTGGAGAGAACTATTGCGTTGCAAGAGTATTTTATCGATTCAGGTATCACAGCTCACTTTTTAAAGTTATGTACTCTTTTAAGTAATGTTTAATTCAAACAAATAATTGTGTTGTGAAAACAATGAAATACAATTAAAATTTCCTGTAAAAGAAAACTGTCGCTGGTCACCAACCAAAATATAAATCAAACGATTTTTACATACCAAAGAAAAGGGTGGCCATTAGGCGGTCAACTAAAAAAATACACATACAGTGAAACGTAAAAATTACAAATGGGATGACATTAGAACAAACGGGGTATCCGACCCGGTCCGTAGTGTCTCCGGAACAAAAACCGATAAAAAACGGCGAAAAGGATCCGATCCGGTAAAAAATAAGAATCAGACAAAGCGGCCGGACGGCCGGTAACCTCTATACGTGTCCAGTTTTTTTTACGAGCACCCCGCAGCCCTTTTGTCCTTCCGGGAGGCCTTTTTTTAAATAGATCAGGGGCTGGCAAGTAAAGACCGCGGCCGACGTCCACCCTGAAATATTATTGTGGATTTTTCTGCTTGGCATTCATAAATATTTCCCAGGGAGAGGCCGCGCAACCCCCTCCGTCTACCCACTGTAGGGGATTTACTCGAATCGGCGTAGAATTATAAATTCGGTTAATAAAATATGATACGATAAAGCCGCTTTTTTCTCTGGCGGACCTCTATTATATTTTGTTTAATTTAAATATGAATAATTAATTTTAAAAAGGAAATCTCGGGGCTAATGAAATTTTTGTTTTCGAGATAATGAATTGAAAACACCGAGTGTCGCTCGCTCAGTGCTGTGTTATTCTTTTCTCGCTCATTCGGATTCATCCTTCGTAGTCTAAAAAATTCCCTGGAAAATATTTTATTTTTAAAATGTATTAATTATGAATACGAATTATATTTTTTCCATGTTTATCTGACCCTTTATACTATCGTGGGGTCCTACACGCGCGAATTGTGTTTTTTAAGGCCTACACAGTAATTAGAATTAATTAATTTTTTATAACGCGAAGAGAAATTAGAAAATTTCAGTATTTTCAGAGGCCAGTTAAAGTTAGGGCTCGTTATGTCAACAATGAACTACTTCCATAACGGCCTCATCGCTCGTAAAGGCTGTGGAACAGGTAGTCACAACATAATCACACTTTTAATATTCTACACTCATCCAAATTGTCGGACATAAGCAAAGAGAACAAAAAGAGAGTGCGGTCGAGACATGGGTCCCAAAACCTCGAACAACGCCTTTAATCAACACAAACGCACCCGGCGATCAAACGGCCGAGAATTAAAAAAAAACCATCGATCCAGTCTGCCACAACCACAAGGGATTAAAATCGTAACGAACGTATAAAAATATTCAAATACAATACTAACAAATTGATACAAACACTCATTAGGTGCGGATCGCGGAAGGCGCCCCCCGGTGGGGTGCTTGTGGGCCCCCGCCGGCCGATCTCTACCGACATTACAATCCACATCCAGCGTACAAATATTATCTAAAATTCCTTCTCATTTATAATCCTTTTGTGTCCTCAGCGCGATGTCCTCCGTCAAATCCCCCCACTCCCCACAGGGGTCGGGTGGGGGTATTTTTATATTTTTAATCGCGTTGGGCATTATCCAAATGGACATTGGCGGGTGCGCCGACTGCCGGTGCCGTCTAGATGATAAATTCTCCTTTCGTTCGACACCGGGCGCAATGTTTTGTTTTGTCCCTTCAGTAATGTCTCCTTTATTGGTATCGGAGTGAAAAAAAATACCCTCATAGTCATTAATTACAGTAGATTTGTCTGTTGGTGACTGGCGAGTTCTTGGCGACTATTAAAAATGTTCCACCATCTGTGGCTTCTCGTCGACTGATTTTTTCGGCGTCTCGGCAAATGAGGATTGATTGTAGCAATCGTTTGATGCAGATTCTTATTGAATGCGATGACGGTTTCGTCCGTGATCGATGGTCCGCCTTTGTGGCTACAATTAGGTTACAATTTTTTCGTGAATGAATAAAAGGAAGACAAATTACGTCAGATCAAATTAGGGAGTCAAATATTTAAGTAATTTTTCTTATACAGTAAAGTGATCTTTGGAAATTGTTCTACTCTCATAGCAAGCTTATTATATTGCATCATTTAGTTTTGAAGTTTAAACTTGTAAGTGTTAAATACCGACTTCTGCTTAATTTATGGAGACGTTAATCCGTATTTTAATCAATGTTCAAACGCTAACAAATGATCAGCAAAAATTCGTTCAAAAACCAGCCAGCTACAGAATCGTGAACGTACATAAATTTAGTTGCCGTATAACCGGCTCCCACGACGGCTCGGCCCAAAGTTTCACACCATTAATTCTTGCGCGCAGTCCACTGCACTTTTTCCATCGTTCTCAAAAAGTTCCACATGAAAAAGAATCGCTTTTCTATATGCAAAACAGGCCGCGGTGCTCACACCGCCGTTATAATAGGGATCATCTATACAATATCAATTTTGTCTAATATATTGGGGTATTTTTATGTTTTATTGGAGCCAGGATTTTGGTCCCATTAAACTTTTTTTTCGAATTTTATGTTACGGAAGATATTGCTCTTCTTGTTTGGGCTTTTAAAATGGGGTGGGTTTGTGTAATGTATTGTTTTTTGAGTTATGTTTTAAGTTATAGGAAAGTAATCCGAGTGGTTTTGTTCCGAGTGATATTACGAATATTTGTAATGAGAATATTTTCGAAATGGCCATTAAAATAAGGTATAAATAAAACTGTAGACAATCGCTGGATATAGAGCATTATTGTAATATAAGCAGTGTTCCTATCAAAGGAAAATGTGGGGTCTCACTTAACTTTATTTATAGTAAACAAAAAAATACATCAACTGTTGCACATTAAAAGATATTCTTTTGTGGTGCTAGGTATAGTTACTATTAAGTTAAAATTGCTTGAATGGTCTGATTTCTCGCCTTCAATGAATAAATAAATAAATTATCTTAAACAAGGCCAACTAGGCCTCAACAGCAAGGTGCAAATGAGGTAATGGGAAACCCTTTACTGAATAATATAGTCTATGCTAATGATGATGGCTGGGATCTGTCGTAATTGACGCAAATCTGGTTCATTATTATTATTAATTAGGGCTTTCTTGTCCATTCTTTGGCGTACGACAAACTAATGACAATGTTTAGTTGACATTAGCCTTTTAAAGGCAGCCAGGATTCTGATTCTGATTCTTAACAGATTTAGTTATCAATTATGATAATGATTTTAGCTTAACAAAACTTCATATCGAGATTATTTTTACAACTGTGACTATGCTTTGGAATGAACTTGCAATTCTAAGTTTTTATTGAACAAAAATCTATTTCATCGGTAAGTGTCATTACTAAACTTAGTACGGGCACTCATTCACGTCTGTAGCTGACGATGACTGTTGATAAAAAACCTATTTTCATACAGAGAAGGAATAAGC